AAATATTATATTTATTCATTTTTTCCCCCTTTTGATTCTGGGACGAATGTATTCAAATTATACACAGGGTATATAAATAAACTTTTAAGTTTTAAAAGTGTGTAAAATGTATTTTTATAATAAAATATAATGCATTTATTTTTTCCTTTTGATTCTTAAATGACTGTATTAAATATTTATTATCATTTATATACTTTTATTGTGAGTGCATGTTGATTTTTTCATTTTATTTTGAATTTTATTATGTATATTTATTTATTTATAATGGTGAGCCACTTGCTTTCATTGTAACACAGTGCGGTCATGTGAAAATATTGAAGCATATGGTTGCTTGACATGTTTATCACTGCATAGTTCTTTAAAACCCTTAGTTTTCCCATAAAAATATAATTTTTGATCCTGGAATGACTGTACAAAAAAAAAGCACACACATCTAGGTATTTTCATTATTTGTGTGTGCAGACTGGTTTGACCTCAGTCGTCCTCGCTGGACGGTCCTGCAGAGAATCGGATTTGTGACCTTCCACTTTTCCCCTCATAAAACACATAAACACACACAGAGGCCTTCACCGGGGTGAGACTCGCTCTACCTGCCAGTAAACGTCTGAACCCAGAGCTTTATGTGCTGCCTGTGGAATATGTGGCTTGAGGTTTGGGTGCTGGACACTTCCTGGAAAGTGTCATCTCTGGAGGAAATGGACACGCAGCCCACAAATGAACCTGCCAAACCCACAGAGTCACCTATCAATATATCAATAAATCCCCTTCATGCTTCTGCAGCAGCAGGTGAGCAACTGTGTGACACGCCCAGAAGAGTCACTCACAGGCTCCGCCCACCGGCTAACAATTTGCTTCTTATTAAAAAATAGCTGCGTGTCAAATGACACACTATACACTATGTACTTATGCACTATGTACTCAACAATGTAGTGTATGAATTCATATATAAGGTTATTATAGTCTGATAGCCCCTCCCCCTTTGGTACGTAATTAAAGCTGTGACACTTGAGTGCAAGTGTCCAACATTCCACACTTAATTAAGTGCATCATCCGGGTATTTAAAGCGCACTTTTTATTTTTGGAATTTTCAGTGTGAACGCACTACTCGCACTATTTATAGCCTACTACAGAACTTCATAGACTAGTGCGTAAGTACGCGATTTGGGACGCACCCTGTTTTTATACAGTCTATGGACGCACCTAATGAAATAAACCTCAATTAGTAAGAGTTTTATGCAAGTGCTATTTATAATAATTCACTTAAATTATTTAGCCACGTGACGAATTCATCTGGAAATATTTTCCATTTACTTACCCAAATAATTAAATGTATCCACCTCAAGTTTTTAGTTGTTTTATTCACATCTGTGTGTTCTACCAAAGTCACTTTAAGGCTAAAGGTTATTCTATAGTCTTTGGTTCTATCCAGCATTTTATGTGATATTCGCATGAAGTTTGCGTACCTGGTTTTTCAGACTTTGTATTTGACTTGAGCCAGAAAGCGACGACCAATAACATCCTAGCAATGTCCTAGTAACCAAAAAGAACACCTTAGCAACCACCCACAAGAGGTTAAAATCATAGCAGCAACAGACAAACAGCAAAAAGTTCCTGGTAAGTTCCTTACCTGAGAATGACGCCATTTGGCACAATGTTGAAGCCTTTTTCAAACATA